CCAGCTATTCCTACCACCTACGCTTGCCAAGCTGCTCCACATGTCTGCAGGTGAGGTCCTTGAGCATACATAACAGCTGTCCTTGCTGCCAGGGTGAGAATATATGCTGGAAATGGCAACCACGTGTTTATAAAAGCAACCTGCAGTTCCTTGAAGAAACGGATGTCAACGTAAGTGACCATTTTACAAGTGTGAGTTTTCTGGGTTATCCAACAGAAATATTCCCCCCAAACCCAAAACTATTTATTGACTGTGTCCTCTGTGCTAAGTGGTGTATATACACTGTGTCATTTTATCATTGCAACACCCTGGGAGACAGAAATGCCTCCCTCACGTTACGGAGAAGCAGCTGAGTCTCTGCCACGTTCAGCCACCTCTGCCCACTGTCATCGGCAACAAGAAGCAGAGCTAGGATGGGGAGCCAAGTCTGTGGCTCTGAAACACCTAGCATGTCTCAGGTGCATGAGACACCTCGCCAAGACATCCCCCCTCCTCCTCTAGGGACACAGAACCAGAGGCGTAGCCCAGTGCACCTTGGACTGGACGAATGTCCGCAAAATCGGCACCAGCTCCTCGTCCTCCAGGTGGTCCGCGCTCTGGATGGCCACGTTTAAGATGTGGATCGGCTCTTCTCTGAAGTTCTAGGAGGAAAAGAACAGAGGCGGGTGACAGAAGGACCTGGGGCCCCAGCCTGCCCCCTCCTTGGCTTGCTCCGTGCTCGGACACTCACCTTGCCGTCCTCCTCACAGTACAAGGAAGTGCGGGCCTTGCCGAACAGGTGGCTGTCCCTGGGCACGTTGGCGAAGCAGGAGATGACTTCATCAAAGTTCCTGGGGGTGAGAGGCAGAGAGGGGGGCTGAGGGGCTGCTCCCCCACAGGGTCGTAGGTCAGACCTGGGCCCCCCCCCCCGGTTCCCAACCAGCACTCTGCAAGCTCATCCAACTCTGTGCAGACTTCCTTTGGTTCCTGACCATTTCCAAGGCATCACTGATGGGGTCTTTCCGAAAAGGGAAGAAATGGGCCCCCATTATCTGAGGCCGAGAATAAGAGAAACGCTGTCCAAACTCTGGGGCATCAGCGGGGCCCCCTTTTACCAGCTGGGAGATCCTCACAACCTCACCTCACCTCACCGAGCCAACTGAGGATTATATAAGTAATCAAACCTCCTAAGGCTGGAGGGAAAATACAAGATAATCCAAGCGCCACTGCATAACACACAGGAATGGGATGGAAAAGGGCAACAATAAGACTGACAGGTGACATTCACTAAGCATGTGATTTACATATCAATTATACTTGAAATATAATATTTAATATGTACTATCTTGTTTAATTTTCCTGGTGATCCTATGAAGGAGGGCCTTCTCTTATACCCATTATACAGATGAGAATATGAAGGTACAAAGAGGTTAAATAATTTGCTCCGTCTCACAGTTAGGAGGCACAGAGCCAGAATTCAAACGCAGGCGGGCTGACGGGAAAGCCCACGCTCTTGGCTATGATCATGTTATTTTGTTATTATTAACTCACTGTGTTGCCATGTGTTGGGCCTCCCCAACCCAGTGTGTCCCACAGACAGGCGGGAGACAGGGAAAGCTCATTTTGGCCCCTCTGCTCGGGGTCGGGTCACACCGGATACCTGGTGAACTCCTCGAATCTCCTGAAGGCGACCATGGCCCCCATCCGCTGGCACAGAGGGGAAAAGCCACTGTCCATGAAGAGCTCAGTGCTGTGCCTCAGCAGGTCGGGGTTGGTGACACTGATGGGCATGGCCATCCTGCAGGGGGACAGGAAGTGGGGGATGAGGCCGCTGCGCAAAGATCTGGCCCCTAAAAGCTGTTCCTGCCCTGGAAACTTCGGTGAGCCAGATCAGCATTAGAGCCCCCAAAAAAGGGGGGCTTAAAGTTGGGGGTGGCGGGGACTGAGGTCAGGGCCAGGGGCTGAGGACTTCAGAGCTGCGTCTCTAACCAGCTGCTAGACAGCATTTCACACACGCGGTCACAGCTCGTTGCTGGGGGAATAAAGCGTGTCCCGTGTGATCGCATCAGGAGAGGACTCTTGGAAGCTTGTGCCTGGTTTCCTCTGGACTTGACCCCACACCCTTTTCTCTTTGCTGACTGTATTTTTGTGTCCCTTCGCTAAATCAAGTCATAGTGGTGAGCATGGCGACCTACTGAGTCCTATAAAATCTTCCTCGTGAATCGTCGAACCTGGGTGTGCTCTTGGGGACCCCTGACCCAGGTGAGGCAGGGCCTGTGTACGCCTTCCTTTTATACCCCTGAAATCACCATCCAGGCCCGCTGCTCCGGACAGCTAAATGCAGAGATAACAAACCGGCATGGCAGCCTGGGTTGAATTCAGCCCACAGGCCGGCTTTGGTCTCGGCAGCATTTTTAATACATTCCTATACATTAATCCCTGCCCATAAATCCCTTGCAAAGTTGAGGGACTTCAGATTTTTTTTTTTTTTAAGTCTAGCTGTCCTGCTTCTCTGGGAATAAACATGGAAACGTTTGGCCTCGCCGGCCCACTTCCCTGCAGGGCCACAGCCAGTGGGCTACAACGACAGCTCTTCAGGAAGGGCCGAGCTCAGCTCCCACCTTCCGGTCGTGCTCGCAGCCCGCCTTGGGCCTGGACCTAAGTCCTGGCTGCAGCCGACAAGAATTCCTGCTGTACTCTCGTCTGTCCTCCCCATGGGCCCCGGACCCAATTCATAATGCACCTGGCTCTACAGACACAGGTGTGGAGGGCCCAGTCAGGTCTGCTGGGAGGTACGACTTCACTCCTCCGACCCTTCCCAGAGGCCTTGAGGAGATGGGGTTGTGGGGCAGCTGCAGGCGGGATCTCCTCTGAGGCCACAGGCCCCCGATAAGCTTCAGGCACTCACAGCTGATAGAGCAGTGAGGACCTGGGACAAATCAGGGAATCCCTCCAGGCCGTCCGTGTCTCTCTGGGTGAAAACAGGATGTTGTGCCCATGCTGAGGGTCGTAGCCAATAACCCTGATACATGCATAGGTCCTTCCTAAGACACAAGGCGTGACTGACCCACAGGCTTCAGGGCAGCCGCCCTTCCTTTCTGAACTTGCCTGAACTGCTGAGACAATGAAATCGAAAAAGAAACTGCTTCCTCCTCAGGGGCAGATAATTTCAAAAGTTCTCACACCACACATCCCAAGGTCCCCAAAATGACTCCAGGTCACACTCAGTTAGTTTCCATTTCTCACCATTGGGCAAAATGTCACAATCCTTTCTTCTTCTTCTTTTTTTTTTAAATAATAAGGGTAAAAATAAATGATAAAGATGAAAGGTGATGGGATGTTCTAGAACTGCACTGTCCAATATGGCAGCCACGATTGAGCACTTTAAATGTGGCTGGTATGACTGAGGAAATGAGTTGCTAATTTCCATTCATTTTCATTTAAACAGCCTACATGTGGGTGGGTGGTGGCTACCATACTGGACAGTACAGGTGCACGAAGTAGGTTTGCATTATCTCCATTTTGCACGTGAGAGAACAGATGTGGGGTATTCCCACAGTAGGGAAGTGGTGTCCCTGACGTCTCCCAAGCATTGTACCCAGACATACATGCTGGGTTCCTCCAAAAACAGGACTACAGTGGTCAGGGAGAAAAGAAACACAAGCCACCCCTGAGTGTGAACCACTCCATACCGGTTCGGGTGGGAGGAGGGCAGCATGAACCGGAATTCCACCACGCAGGTGCCGTCCGGGAGCTGCCGGTGCTGCAGGCTGTTTAACTCATAGGCGATGTAGCCCCTCCGCACATAAACCTAATGGAGCAGAAACACAGGGTTCATTCTTTCAAAGGGCCCCGCAGAATACCCCTGAAACCTGAGAAAACTCAGGCTGGAGAAATGATCTTTAAATTCTCTCCTAGCAGTAGTTAAAAGCAAATTAGCTCACATTTCAGAATGTTACTTGCTCTGCAAAGGGCTACACATAAAAAATATTTTACGCTTTGCGGGATATATCACCTCTATCGCAGCTACTCAATTCTGCTGTGGTAGCTCATACACAGCCACAGTCAATATATAAATGAACGGGCATGACTGTTCCAATAAAACTTTATTTACAAAAACAGGCAGAGGGCCAGATGTGGCCCACAGGCTATAGGTTGTCAACTCCTGCTCGAGAGCTCGCTGTCCAATGAAACACAAGCCACATAAGTAACTTTAAAATTTTCTAGTGGCTATTTTAAAAAGGCAACGTAAAAATAATTTTAACAATAATTTTATTTAGTCCCCAATACCTAAAATATTATCATTCCAACATGTAATCAATATGAAAAATTATTGAGGTATTTTAAATTCTTCATAATACTAAGACTTTGGAATGCAGTGTATATTTTACACTTAGAGAACAGCTCGATTCAGGCTAGCTGTATTTCAAGTGCTCACTAGCCACATGTGGCCAATGGGTGCCCTATTGGACAGCATGGTTTCTAGAGAGTAAGCATTGGGAGTTTTTTAATTGGATAGGGAATATGAGGACTGTGTAGAGTTGACACACCAGACCTAATTGCTATTCTTTGAAAGGCCTGCTTGCAAGGCTGGTCCTTGGCTAGCATCTGGGAATTTGGATTTTGGAAAAGTTCCCACAATGCCCTGGTAAAAATGGTTCATGGAGCCTAAACTGTGCAAACAATATGATTTATGTTTATCATGTGCTTTCTTTCTGGGAGCTTAGAATTCTGGTGCATGCTAGACAGCGGGTGCCTATGTGACCAGCCCCCGTCAAAACCCTGGGTGCTGAGTCTCTACGGAGCTTCATTTCACACGTGTTGTCACAACTCGTTGCTCAAAGAATTGTGTCTAGAGGACCACTGGAATCCTGTGCCTTGTTTCCTCTGGACTTCACCCCATGTGCCTTTTCCCTCTGCTGATTGTGCTTTGTGCCCTTTCATTATCATAAGTCACAGCTGTGAATACAGCTGTATGCTGTGCCCTGTGAATCTTTCTAGCGACTCATCGAACCTGGGGCTGGTCTTGGAGATGCCAGACACATTTAGAGCAGGGACAAAACTCTGCACATCTCAAGGGGCCAAGTGCAAATGTTGTTCACAATGCTCATCTTGAGTCCTGCAGAAAAGCCTGGATTACGTTCCATAAATCTGCTGAACAAAGTGATGGGATGTGTAAAGCACTCTAGAGAATTCTCTCACAGAAATAAATGGGATTTAGCGCTTCACAGAGTGAAGAAGGTAGGCTGCTGCTTTCCACCTGACATAGGGCCCGCCCACATTGGACAGGTGCTTGGATGACGGGCGGCAACAGTGACCAATGTCCACTTCAGGTGCTTACTCATTTACCTTCAAATCATCCTGTAAGGTGGATATTATTGCCCCCACCTAAAGCTTGAGAATCGAAAAGGCCAGAGAAGGAAAGCAACTTGCCAGAGGTCACACAGCTCCAACCTTTGCATATGCTGTTCTCACTGATTAGACTCTCTCTGCTTCTCCCTCCCCCACTTCCTATTCGCTCTTTAGATACGTGCTTTCATATGACTTTCTCATCAAAGCCTGAGTTGAAGCCCCTAGTAAGATTAAATCCTGCTATCCGATTCTCACCATGACTGTATTTTCCCATTGCAGCCCTGTCCCATGCATAATTAAAGGAATATTTAATGTGTGTCTCTCTCCAACCAGAGAGAAGCTCCACTAAGGCAAAAACTGCGGTTGTTCCCTGCTGTGTCCCCAGCACCTGGCACATAGTAGGTGCCAATAAGTATGCTGAAAATTGGCGAGAGAAAAAAATAAGTACTAAAGAGCTGTACGGGGTCTCACTGCTGGAAACAAAGTGGGACCTGAGAAGGATTCGCTGAATTGAAGTCAGGGAGGGAATAAAAATTGCAGGCCCGGGGGACTCTGGGGCTGTTATATGCTCACAAGCCCAAAATGGTCTCCATGGAGATCCAGTCATCCTGCCAAAGTCAGGATGGGGGACACACAGGGTCTAAAAGATGGCAGAAGAAGAGGCCAGCCGAGTGGCTCAGTTGGTTAAGAGCTCGCTCAAGAGTTTGAGCTCTGAGCAACAGTGGTTCGAGTCCCGGCCTGAGCTGCGCAGCTGCTGAGCTATCAACAGGTGGCAGGATGGCTCAGCTAAAAAAAAAAAAAAAAGATGGCAGAAGAGATGGCCCCAGGAGACCAAGACTCTAAGATCACAGAGTGAAGAAATGAGGAAAAACCACCAGGGGAAGAGAATCAGGTTGAAAACACAGGACAGCATCTCCTACTTCTTTGAAAGGATTCTGAAAGAGCAGAGTAAATACTGTGATGCCCTGAAACTCCCAAAACACCTCTGAATTAAGGAAGACCGCAGCTAGAGCAAGACGTCCTGGTTCTAATCTGAGTTTTGCTGCTGGTCACGCCCTTCTCTGCCCCGTCACACTGGGAGCACGTAGGCTCCTTCCTGTTCCTCTAATTCCAAGTGGAAAGGTCTTTCAAAGGTAACTGGTGTAGGTGAGTTGGGAAGTTTGAACGAGCTAGCAGGGACGACCAGCAAGGACTCTGGACTAAGACAGACCTAGTGTGAGGCCTGGTTCTGCCACTTCCTAGCTGTGTGACCTTGAGCAAGCTGCTTCACCTCTCTGAGCCTCAGTTCCCTTCCCTGCCAAATGGGGATAGGAATGGTACCTACCTTACGGGGAGAATGATAAGATCACGTTGGCACATGGCCTGAGGGCAGGTGCATGGATGCTGGCCCTGGCACAAGCAGTACTGTGCTGTTACATGGGTCTCTCCCACTTACCTCCAAGGACGCCATGCAGACAACTTTGTTAGCATGATAGAAGAAAGTGGGCAGGACGTCAAATATGGTCGTTTCCGAGAGGATTAATTTCTACAGAAAACAGAAAGGGGGAGAAAAGGAAACATGAATGTTAACAAGTTTTAACCAATAGTCTGAGGAGTGGGAGGGGTGGGAGCAGGGGGGAGAAGCTGGTGGCGTTATCACAAAACGCTGCCAGTGCCCCAGGCCTGTCAGATCTGAAAGTGGACGCTGCTTAAGGCTGACTGCACCCGGGGCTCCCAGTTTCAGACACAGAGGGGTTACCTGGAAGCTTGTAAATGAGCCAAAGTCAGGGGACAGGAGACCCTGGGAAGACGAAGCCATGACTCAGTTACGAGTAGGTGAGGTTCTCAGCTTCCAAAAAACGCTTCATCACACCTGAATTTTTAAAATCATACCCCCTGGGCGAGCCCTGCTACCTGAGCCTCCGCTGACGGCCCCCGTTGGGTGGCCCTGGACACACTGGACTAAACCACTGGTATTTGCAACTGTGCCCTCCACCCCAGTGCCAGCACACTGAAGACATGGGGAGCCCACTTCCTCTGAGGCCCCACTTGGCCACAGCATGTGCTCTGTGGACGGTGGATGGAGACAGTCTCACCTTGAGGTTTTCCGGGCAAAACTGGTGGCCATACAAGTCGATGGCAGACAGGAAAATAGACTCCACCTGGTTGTGCCTCAGCTCGTAGGAGGGGAGATGGGAGGCAATCAAGACCTACGAGGCAGGGGACAGAGGGGCTGGGGTAAACCAACCTTACAGGGGAGAGGCCGAGGGCTGAGCCCATCTGGTCAGACATGGGATGGCAGCAGATGGGCTGTGCACAGGGAAGGACAGCATGGGAAGGAGGGTAGCACCCCACGACCCTCACTCAGAGTGAGGACTGCCCCCCCCACCTCCAACCCTACCTGTCTGGCTCTGAGGGCCACTTTGCAGTGCTCGGTTTTGCTCAGCTGAGTGAGGTCGTTGAGGATGGAGGTCAGCTCCTCCGACAGGGAAGGGTCTGGGCCGCAGAGCTCATCCTTTGGGGACAAAACAGAATCCAAGTGGCCTTTGTCCACCAGAAAGAAACATGCCACCACTCACCCTCAACCGGGGATGCAGCTACCCTGGCAAAACAGAGAGCTATTTGGTCCTCTGAAGATACCCGGTATAGCCTGATGTACATACGTACCCTTACCCCTTTCCTCCATGCACTCCCTATTCATTACTTCATTCATTCATTCGTTCGTTTGTTCGTTCGTTCAGTTATTCATTCAGTCACCCATTCATATACCCCAAAACAAGCCCTAAAACATCTGCTAAGAAGAAAAATACATCTAAGTCTCTGGCTGCACCACTATTAATGGTCAGCAATTATGAGGTACTTACTGTGTGCCAGGCAAGCAGCTAGATCCTTGACATTTGTATCCCCAAATTCTCCCAACCCTCTAAGGAGCTGCTATCACGATCCCCGTTTTACAGATGAAGAAACTGAAGCTCTGAGAGGCAATAGGCCTTGCCCCAAGTATGACAGGAGCGCCCAGCACATAGTAGGTGCTTTGTGAGTATTAGTTATAACCTCCCCCAGGGCCTGACAAATCCCAGCCACGGCCTGCTTTTGTAAATTAAGTTTATCAGAACACAGCCAAGCCCGTTGGCTTACACAGTACAAAGGCGGTTTCGAGAGGTGTGGGCAGAGACCACATGATCAGCAAAACCTAAAATATTGACTCTCTCTGGTGCTTTCCAGAAAAAGTCTGCAGACCCCCGAACTAGCCCCGCTCTAGGTATACAGGGTGCCCTTTCTTGCTTACGATCAACATGATCACCAGCTGGTTCTTCTTGGCCACCTGCGCGTGGGAGAAGATGCAGTCCAGCACCTGGGACATGTCTGGTTTCAGCTGTTCCCTGAGGTTTATCACACACTTGTCGTAGTGGGCTACAGGGAGACAAAAGGCCGCAAGGGGGTAAGGCTCGGGCCCCCTCCCGCCTGTGGGCTGATCACCAGTGCCAGTGGCGACTCTTGCCTTGTTGGAAATGGTGCTCGACAAGTAAATATTTTCGCAGGAGATCCAACACCACTGCTTTCATGTAGCCGCGGGTCCCACTGCGGTACCTGGGGAGGAAAGAACGGCTGCCTTAATGATCCACTCCGCTTCCTGGTGCACCTGAATAGCTACAGCCAGGGCTTTTAGGATTTCAAAAAGAATACAAAGAATCAAGTGTCTGGTGGCTACACCCCCTAATGCTTAGGCCTGGGAGGAATGTGTGAGTCGGTTCATTTGTGCTAACTCTGCAGGCCACAGAGAGCAGTGACTTGCCCAAGGTCATACATCAAGCCAGAGACCAAGCCTCAACCTTTGGATGGCACCTGCCCCGCCCCAGAGAGAAGGAAAAACACTTACAGAGCTGGGGTGCTGAAAGGGGTCAGCCGTGCATGCATGATTGAAAACAAAAATTCTCAATTAACCATCCAATGTATAAAGACAGTTTGGAAAAAAACAAAAAAAAACAAAACTGAAACACACCAAAAGACCTCCGTGTAAATGTTGCTGCCCTTTTAAAGCCAAATTTTAACCTGGACATTCCCTAAAACTTTTCCTCTTCTAAATCATTTCTGAACACAGGGAAATGAGTTTCTTAGGACCTGTGACACTGCATTTTAGAGAAGTTGATATCAGCTTAACCTTAGCATCACCAAATAGCTACAAAAGAGGGGACCTAAAATGCTCACTTCTTCAAATATGATTAAAAAAAAAACAGACAACATAGGACAGAGCTTTGATACTTATATTCAACACAGAAAAATCAGCTAGGGAATTCGATTTATCATTTGTTCACTTCTTCTAGATGTTTCTCTGAAGCTAAAGGAGGGGTTAAGGTTAGCGTAGCTGTTGAAGTGTTCTGGGGAGAGATGGCCCCTTGGCCCTTGGCTGTGAAACTCTGTGGGGAAGCCATGCTAAGAGCTCCTTCCTCGGCTGCAATCCTGTTTTGTCAGTATGCGTCCCCATGAGCCAGGGTGTCCCCTGAAAAGAAGGGCCATTTCCTAGAGCCCTACCTTCTCTGTACCTCTGATAGTTTCTGGAACATGGCATACATGGATTAACTCGCTCCAGTCTGAGAACGCTTCTATTCTGTCTTTATAAGCCAAGCTTTCATCCTGGGTTAATTTTTTCATGCAAAATGGCAGTTCTTTTTATCATCGGAATTGTTCTCCCTGCTCAATAGCTACTTAAGATAAAATACAAATTCTTCATCCCCTCCTTTGCAATAGTCCCCCAAAACTGCAATGATCACTTGTACAGTCCTTTGCGGCACATAAAGCCATTTCGTCCCACTGTCTCATAATCAAAGCTGCCATGAGGACTCAATATCATCAGCACTGTACAAAAATTAATCCACTCAGAGCTCAGAATGACTTATCACGTGTCAGGTGTTTTCATTCCCATTTTGCAAACCAGCAAACTGAGATGCACAGAAGAAAGTGCCTTGCCCAGGCTTCTGTTGTTAGAAATAACTATGCCAGGACCATAATCAGGGTCTCTGGGCCCCATGTTTTGTCTCTCAGTTTGAGCCTGCCCTTAAGAGACCCCCCCAGGACACCAGCTGGGGCAATACACGGGACGATTCAGTGTGACAACCGCACCCCATGGAGGGCCCAGGATTCACCTCTGGACCAACTGTACGATGCTCTGCGTGTTCATGAAGAAGACCTCCCGGTCAGCCTTCCGCTGCAGGGTGGCCGCGTGGCAGTCCAGGATGGTGGCTATCTGGACGGGAAAAGAGGACAGGTCTGCCCACTTACCACCACACAATCCGGTCACCAAACAGAAGTCATCGGAAGGACCCACCACAGGCTCCCACGTAAGGTCCTGTCTGAGGCTCATTTGAAAGAAGAAAATCCCAGCCCCAGAGCCCTCTGGCCACCCAGAAACAGATCTATTCACTCCAACATATTAATTGAGGAATTCAAGAGCCCAGAATGATGATAATCACATAAAGACAAACACCTCTCCACAAATATGGATGGTGTGGGAAAAGGGAATTTCCAAACCCAGGGAACATGAGGGTGCGGAGTGGGGCGGGGTCCTATGTTCATAATTAGCTTGAATGTTATTGGCAACACAAATATTTTTTAATAAATAAATCTGCATCAATGACAAATTTCTGAAAGGTCCAAACATGTACTTTTCTCAACTGGGGTCCTTTAGAGTTTTGCTTTGTTATTTTTTAGCTGAATTATAATTCCACAGTAGTCCTCCCTTTTTAAAGTATACAATTAATTCAGTGCTTTTAGTATATTTAGAGTTGTGCAACTATCACCACTATCTAATTTGAGAGCAGTTTATCACCCCAAAAAGGGGCCCTATGATCATTCACAGCCACTCCCCATCTCCCCTTCTCCAAGCCCCTGGCAACCACTAATCTTTCTTTCTGCATGGATTTGCCTATTCTGTCCATTTCACGTGAATGGAATTATGCAACGGGTAGTCTTTTGTTACTGGCTGCGTTCCCCTAACATGTTTTCAAGGTTCGTCCGTGTGGTAGCATGAATCAGTATTTCATTCCTTTTTATGGCAGAACAATATTCCAACCTCTAGAGTGTTTGACTTCTGGGAATGACCTGACCTTTGCTGACCTCTAGCTTCTCCAATGACTAAGGTGGATGTGTGTGTGTGTGGGGGGGGGGCAGAAATGGCGATGGTAGGTAGTCCTTCCAACCAGAGGGCGCGAAAGTAAACTGGCAGAGGGGGCTCTTCCAAATGCAAGTTACCTTCAAAATACTCGATAAAAGCAATGAGAAAATGAGAACAAAATGAGGCCAATGTAAAATTATGAGAGATGTTTTATATTACCCTGGAATGGTTTCCATTCTTAAAAATATATTATATATACCGTATTTCCCCATGTACTCTTTTTCGAAAAATTTGGGGTCTAAAAACTGGGTGCGTCTTAAACAGTGGTTGTAGATTTTTTTTACTTGCATTTCCCACAAGTGATGAGGAGTTGTATGAATAGCATGATGACTAAAACTTGAGTTCAATAATTTTATGTAATACATTTTTTTTTTCAAATTTCGGGCCCCAAAATTAAGGTGCGTCTTATACATGGGGAAATACGGTACTTACAGCCCCAAGGTTCTCACCTTATAAAAACCAGAGGAAGAGGATCTAAGCTACAAAATGAGCAAAACCTCACAATTTCCTCTATTCTATGAGTCAGCATATGGAAAATATTCACTCCATTTGCACCCACTGCCTACTCCTATTCTGAATCTGACTTTTGTGGAATCAGGCTTCATAACTGTTCCGTTCATCTAAACAATTGCTGCTTTGGGAGAAAACGCTGAGATTCTGCAGAGAAGGCTTGAAACACTCAGCCCCCGACGTCTCGGGCTGTAAGTGGGTCTCACGAAGCCCAACTCGACCAGAGGCCGGATGCCCAGGCTTCCTGGGAGCTGAGTTAGTTCCCATGGAGCCACCTGGCCTGGCGTGGGTACTCTGATGGGGCTGGGAGGGGGGCACATACCTGCTGGCTGGGGAACTGGCACAGCACTGAGGTGATGTTGCTGGCGTACTGGGCCATCACCCTGCGGACCGACTTCTCCACGGGGGCGGGGATGCGGCCCGACACGCTGGTCATGATCTCCTGCAGCTCCAGCAGTGGCAGCGACGGGTGTCGGAGGGTCATCATGAGCTTCTGCACCCACTCCTTCAGCTGCAGCAGGGACCGGAGCATTGGCCCGAGGCCGTGCCAGGGGCATGGGTACAGCCACCCACCACAGGGTACCCGACACACTCAACCTACCCAGACCTGTGCACTCATGCGGCTCTGCAACAGTCCTGAGTGAGATAGCCCCCTAACCACAAGGGGAGCCCAGTTTCCCCACCCAGGAAGGTCCCCACTCCCCTCTGCCTGCATCCAGATAGTCAATATGGTGTGGTCATAAAACATAAGGCCATGTGAAGAGCTAACGTTTGTGGGACGCTTAGTACCAGACACTGTTCTAAGACCTTTATGTGCACATTCTCATTTGACCCTCAGAAACAACACTACGAAGAAGGTATAATCATTATTCCCATTTTACAGATGAGGAAACTGAAACACAGAGAGGTTAATTAAGTTACCCAAAGTCACCCAGCAAAGCCAGGATGCAAACTCAGGCCATCTAACTCCAGAGACTATAACAGCTGCTCTGCACCGATATGTTGATGGTCTTTGAATGAGTAGAATGGTGCCAACCCCTTAACATGGGTATGAGGTTTAATAATGAAATGATGCATGCACTGGCAAGTACAAAGACTAAACAAAGGTTGCAATGATAGCAATCACAATTTGGAAGCATAGCAGAAGGGTTAAGAGCACAGACTCTGAAGCCAGATGGCCAGGGTTCAAATCCCATCTTTGGTTCTTTATGGGTAAGTGTCTTAGCCTCCCTGTGCCTCAGTTTCCTCACCTGTAAAAATGAACAAAATAAAGAGTTTCTACCTCCTAGGTTGTTGGGGAGGATTACATGTCAATACATTTTAAGTGCTTAGAGTCGCAGCTGGCACATAGTATGTCCTAGACAAGGGTTGGCCATTTTTATTACCACCATCATTATGGTTTGCTGTTCTGAGATGGAACGTGACGCAGCACAGTTTTATCCCTACTGATGTTAGGTTTAGAGTCATGGGTCTTTCACAGAGGTCTGCAAATATGAGAACTTAAGTCTCCATCAAATGAGTCGACAACGGGACTCTGAGATGGTGAACAAGGAATAGAGCAGTGTGTCTAAACCACACGCCTTCCTCGTTGTCTCTTTAACAGGGTGACTCACAGTGACTCCTCTCTTAACTTACTACTCGAACATGTGCTCTCATGGAGTAACTGCCTCGGGCCCTTCACACAGACCTACACAGGTATGCAGCATACACACCTACCCTTCACATGGGACCTACTTTTATGCTAAAAATAGGCTCCGGCAAACAGTAGCCATTCATGATGTTGGTCAGGTTTTCCAGGACGCTGTGGAAGACCTGGTGCAGCTTCTCTCCCACGATGGGCAGCGTTTGCTGGGGCGGGAGCTCTCCTGTGAAGGGCTCGGCCTGATGAGACACAACAAGAACCGGAGGTCAAGGACACCGTGGCCTCCCCAATGAGACGAGACAAGCCAAGGTCCGAGGCAGGTCTACCAACAGGCAATATGCACAATACACTGAGGATGACGCCTAGGGTAAGGGAAACAGAAGAAAACAGCATATCTGGAAGTGAAAATTGCTAAATTCACAACCCATGCAGGTTTTCCAACTTTTCCCCTTTGCAAATGTCATAGTCAGTTATATCCCCCCAATAATTTTGGAGGGGGTTAGGCTTCTTTTTGTTTTTGTTTTGTTTTGCTTTGCAACCAAGGTTATCTCCTTATTTTCCCTATTAATTTTCAGTCTCTAATTTAGTTCCCAAAGATAAATGCCCAGCAGGATGAAAATTTATGAAACTCTCATACAAAGGTATCTGATTTTTGTAAATCAGAAACATTTGGCCTTAGAGGACCAAAATATAAAAAGCTCCCCAAAGGGGCAACATGGACTTAATGAGCCCATTTGTCTATTAATTCATTCTATATACCAACTGAACACCTACTGTGTGTGAGGCACCGGGACCCAGGAGGTTTGGGACTTCTGTTCTGTTGGCCTGGACCCCTCAGCTCCCTGCCCCCTCCCCCACCCTCACCCCTGCTGGCTCCTCTAGTCCTTGAACAGCTAACTAGAGGGTTCCCTTCTCCACAGTCTGATGCCAGCTTCTCCACCTGGCCTCCCACAGCCAGGGGCCAAGGGCAGTCTCCCTTCCTGGACGTACCGAGCTAAATTAGAAGGGCTTATCCCGTAGGCATATATGAGCCTGTAGGGGCTGGTGGCCACGCCCTGTCTCACATACCTAACCCCGAAAATGTTTGCTGAAAGGAATCACGCTGGAAGCACACATACCTTCCCAGTGATCTAAAAAGCCTCAGTCTATTGCTAGCTTTGGGAACCCCCTAAGAGAGTAATGAAAAGAATGAGAAGTAAAAAAAAAAAAAATGAAACTCATGGAACAGTCTGGAGGAAGGAAACAATTTGATGTTTTTTTAATGCGTTTCTAGCTTTTTTCCTGGGCATACGTACTAATAAAATTGTAGAGAAAAGAACAATACACCTATGAAAGGTGAGAGACCTCCGCTATGCATGGCTTACTTAGGCGGGTGTAAGCAGTCACTAACAAGACCTGTTTTTGTCTCAGTACCCACAATGCCCCAAGCACGTCTGAATAAAAAGCTCATGGGAGGTGAGAGGGTGAGCCCTGCAAACATCTGGGGGAAGGTCTTTCCAGGCAGAGGGAGCGGAGGAGTGTTCAGTTAAGTGAGGGCGAGAGGATGAAGCTGGAGAAGAAAGTGGGGGCAGCTCATCTGGTCATCAGAACTTGGGTTTCACTCTATGCAGAATGGAGAGCCGCTGAGAGGGATTTGAATGAAGGAGGACATGATTCTGCACCCATCACACTGGCTGCTGGGGGTGGGGCGCGTGGAGGCAGGAGAACCAGAAGCCTCCAGGCAGGCAGAGACCATGAGCGCCCCTGAGTTAGCCTGGGGGGCCGTGTGGTGTGGTGCTACATACCGGGTGCACTTTAGAAGGGTCATCGAGCTCCAGCCTGGCCACCACACAGCCCGCTTCCAGCACGGCCCCGGGGCGCTTGATGTACTTCACCCGGCCACTTTCCTGCACGTTCAAGGCCATGATCATCTTCATCACCTGTTTTGCAGAAAGAAGATTGAGCCCACCAGGACCAGTCGGTGCGTGACACCTAGTAACTCTGGCGCAGGGCCTGTATCATTTAAATAGACTCGCTGGGCAGAGTTTAAGTGGAGAATATAGAGGGAACTAGCAGTTACCAGAAGCCTGCTGTGTGCCAGGTATGAGTCACCTCCGTCGGCAAAACCAGCTGGGAAGGTAGGTGTTGATGTGCCCATTTTACAGACATGGAAACTGATCGCTAGTGTGGCAGTAAAGCCTCTCATAGAAATACAGTTAAATCATATTATGTAGGGTGAGTAATATACACTTTCCTAAAATGTGATGCATTTTGTGACCTGCTCCTTTTCTCAAGGCAGTGAGAAAACCCTTTGGGGACTACTTGGTGAGAAAGAAACTGGCCTTGAAACTGGCCTCTCTGAGAGCCCGGATATGCGGACGTGACAAGTGTTCCTGTGGTGCGGGCTGCAGACACTCAGCACTGGGCTCCTTTTGCTCAGTAGTTCACAGCTCGGGCACCCGAGTCAGCCAAGCCTGGGCTGCAACCCCAGCACCTCACCCATCACTCTGTGACGTCCATCAAGTGCCTTCCCCTCTCTGAGCCAGTTTCTCCCCTTGTAAAATAGGGACTAAGGACAGTCTCACCTCACAGGACTCTGATAAGGATTCAGCAAGATGAACTTGGCACAAAGCAGGGGACCAAGAAGCCTTCGCGCCTACAGTTGCTGTATTGTCATTGTCATTATCATCACTATTTTCTTCAGCAGCAAGGAATGGAGGCCGGGTTTGAATCCTGGCGATATGTGACCTCAGGTGAGATCCATAGCCTGTCTGGGCCCCATTTCTTCCTTCCTTCCTTCCTTCCTTCCTTTCCTTCCTTCCTCCCTCCCCCCCTCCCTCCCGCCTTCTTTCCTTTCTTCTCCTTCTTTTCTTTCTTTCTTTTCTTTTTTTTTTAAGCTGAGACATCCTGCCACCTGTTGGCAGCTCAGCAGCAACTCAGCTCAGGCCAGGAATCGAACCGCTGTCGCTCAGAGCTCGCACTCTTGAGCGAGCTCTTAACCAACTGAGCCACTCGGCCAGCCCTGGGCCCCATTTCTTAATGTGCAAAAAGAGGTTCAAATATGTGCCGGTCTCCTATGATTGCTGGGAAGATTAAAGAAGGTAATTAAAGGAAAATGCTTAGAATAGTGGCTGTCGTGTGGTACGTGCTTTGCAAGTGTTGGCTTACGCCTTTTTTTTTTTATCACCGCCATCATCGTTATTAATCAGTTCTTACTCATTTCTGGGGAGCTGTGCATGCTTGAGGTTTCCCCTTTAAATACTGCAGGAAGTCTGGGCTGAACCCCACACACTGACTCTCTCAGGCCCAGGTGAGAAGTGAGGCCCGTTTGCAGAAGCAATGCCGGCTGGGCCTCCCTCGGGGAGCAGGGGTGTAGGGAGGCCTGGCTGACCCCCCAAGGCCTGCTCTGTGCTCACCTCCATCTCAGCGTAGCTGCATCCAGCCTCCACATGGCCCCCATCCTCCACAGTGTACTGAGTCAGCTTCCCAGCCGAGGGGGATCTCAGGACTGTGGGGTCATTCTCCTTCTCAAACACACACGTCTTGTTGCCGATGGTAATCCGGTAACTGGGAGACAGGAGGAGAGAGCATGGGGTGGGGGGGATGGGTTGAGGGGGAGAACTGGGGACGACGATGGACCCAGCGTGCCCAGCGAGGAATTCTACAGCGTTTTCCCGTCCTAAAGGCAGCCATGGGTGTCACGCTGTGTGCAGTTTGGGGGACCCTGCTTTCCCAAATGGTGGTGTTTGACAGTCCCTGCAGATATACTGGGAGTGAGTTGGGGGAGCAAAGGGTAGGAACCTTTTCTGACTGAAAACTAGTTCCTTTTACTAACATAATTCCAACCTGCACAGGGAAAGCAAATATTTCTTTAATAAATACTTACCGGCTGCAAATCTTCACCTTATAACTGAACTGGGGGGAGAGTATGCCCCATGGGTGAAGCCTACGATAATCTTGAATATTTTTGGCAGACAGAACATGGGTTTAAAAAAAGGGAATAAAACACTGCCCTGGAAGGAATCTAGTCCACCTTCTTCCACTGAGAAATGGGAAGAGAGACTCCATTCTCTAACTGGAGTTTTTTCAGGCAAGGGGCTTCTGACACTGACATACACACACGTGCGCCCGTGTGTGCCCGCGTGCGTGCGCACGTGCGCGCGCGCACACACACACACACACACACACACACACACACACACACACACTCCTTACTCTCCTTGGCCGGGGATCTGTGCTGCCTGCTCAGTAGGGTGGTCTGCATTTCATCGTGCGGGCTCAGTGTGGTCAGCCACACTAGATCAGGAGGGTCTCTGAGTCTATCTCATATGATGCCTCTGTGCTAAGTGCTTCCAGGGAAGCCTGTATGTCACCCATCTGGACACACAGTGACATTTCCTGCCACTGTCTGTTCGATCGCTATGTCGTCTTCCCCAGCAGGCTTCCTAAGTCATGACCATGGTTCTATCCCAGCACCTAGCCCACTGCCGTAATTGGCTGGCCACGTTTCCTCAGAGCCTGTGCTCAAGTGGGCGTGGACGCTGCAGCTCAAACAGGGAGCAGCTAGTTCCTCGTCACACACCTTGCAGGCCTGGGGCTGGGAGTCATGTCCCCCTCAACCCTGACTCCTCCCACGTTACTACAAAAGGGCCTCCTGGGCGCCGCCCGTACATGTCTGCCACTCGCGTGGAATTCCAGCCAAGAGAGTAACCTCTCTCCATGGGCCCCAGAATTTACCAAAGAAGGTACATTAGCTAAGACCCCTGGGCTGCACATAGGCTGGTTTCGTATTTTCAGCCCCCCCGGGAGACGGCTGGCCCTGGGCCCCAGCCCGCGGTGGGACTCAGCGCCTGCATACCTGCTAACCTCTTCTTTCATGTAGGTCGTGTAGCTGTTGCCATTGTAAGACAGCAAAAGCCCGCCATCATTCAGCCGGTGGGCATCAATCTCGATGTGACAGCCGTTCATGATGAGGACAAACATGGTCAAAGACTGCCGGGCCACCTATGGGAACAGGTCCAGTGTCCCCATCTGCATTCAGGATGCCTGCTTGTCCCTATTCCCCCAGAGCACTGTCTGGCCCCCCTGACCTGCAGCTATGGCTGGTGTCCACTGTGCGAGTGCCAGGGTGGACACCTTGCCTGTCTAGTCCCAGCCCTCAGTCACCCCAAGGGAGCCACTGATGGGGAGGGAGCCCGGAGTCAGCACGCCACGTCTGCCCCGTGGGTAGGCTAATGGTTGCTGGGCATAGGCGTGGTCTTGTCCAGCCATCTCTCACCAACTGTGTGCCCTCAGGGGCTGGGGGCTTTCTTCTGACTCCTGATTCCCGCCTCCAAACATCAGCCCCTAGCAGGGCTTCCCTGGGTAGCAGGGAGAGGGGGGCTCACTCTGGGCAAGGCAGCCCTGGAATCTCCACCAGTGACATGGACTAGGGCTCTGTGCCCCCAGACTTGGCTCTGCCCAGGAGCACACAAGACGTTTGGGACACTCAAGAGAGACACAGGTGGCCAGGACCTGGCTTCAGGTCTGCCTTTCAATCTGACATACTGCCCCCATCTGGCCCTCAGTTCAGTGTATGCATTCTCTCTCAGAAAACAAAAACCCTCAAGAGCCCTCGACTTCTAAAACACACATTTTGAGATAAAAGACAGCAAGAAAGATAGGAAGGTTTATTGCAATATAATTTACGGTAACAGCAAAACTTAGAACCAAACTAGCTATCTGACAACCTTGCAATGAAAGGCTCAAGCTCTGCACAGTGGAATACACTACCCCCTAGCCGCTGGCGGCTAGTTAAACGTAAATTAATTAAAATGAAATAAAATATGAAATTCAGTTCCTCGGTTACACTTGCTACACTTCCAGTGCTTAAGAGCCACAGGGGACGCATACTGGACCACAGAGATATAGAACATCTCCACCCCTATGGATATCTCAATTGGACAGTGCTGCAGATATCACACTGATGTTAAAGAAAGCCTGTTAACAAGGTGGGGAAACTTTATGCCACAATAACATCGAAACAGTAAAAATGTATGTGCACCATGATATCAACTTTGTAAAATCAATGTATAAGGGGGGGGAAAAAAACCCCAAAGAACTTAAATGAGATCTGCTTTAAAATGTTCACAGGGATTGCCTCCAGGTGTCAGCGCGTGCTGGACCTGTTTTTCTGATGCTTGTTACGCTTGTTTGAAATTTTGAAATTTTCTACAATGAGCATGTGCCACATTTAAAATTGAGTTGTGGGGACCAAGGCCCCAAAAGTTAGCCAGGAAACATCGGAGGCAAAAGAGAAGTGATTTTATAGCACGCCCCCATGGATAACATGTTCGTTTAGACTGAATGAAGCCTTAAAAAAAACTCCCCCAAGTTCAAATTCAACATGTGCATGGCAATATTAAAAATAAAGTGAAAGAAAATAAAAATTCAGCCTTAGGAGCAAATGTAAACTTCATCCTCTTTTCCCTTCCCAGAATGTGAGGCTAGGAAGTGCCGGGGAGGCCTTGGCTTTCTGGGGACACTTTGTCCCCCAGGTCACTCCAACTCGGACCCAGGGCCACACTCCGTGCCAACCTCTCAGATACTCTCTGACACTCTCCGCTGAATGGACCTTGGATGGCGCAGGAAGGGTAACTGAATATTTCCACCAGAGGAGAGCAACCCTGAGAAAGCACCAAGGACACCAGAGGTGGTACAGAAAGAGGCCAGAATCCCACATGCCGTTCTTGGTACAAAGACACAGGACAAAGCCAGCGTCACAGTCCTTGGGGACGGACCCAGACACGGTGCCAGCTCAGCAATGGTCCTGCTCACGCACCAGAATGGGTTGCACAGCGTCCCCTGCAAAATTCACGTTCTTCCCGGCACCTCAGAATGCGACCTTATTTGCAAATAGCGTCTTTGCAGATGTAGGTAGTTAAGATGAGGTCACACTGCATTAGTGTGAGCCCCAAATCCAATATGACTAGTGTTCTTCTAGAGCAGGGGTCGGCAAACTTTTGAGACGGAAGAGCCAATCCTGTCCCTCACAACAATTTAGAAATTATTCGTGAGCCATAAAACAAATGAAATCACCATTATGTGAATATCCTTTAAAAATTTTATAAATGAAACTATGATAATTTTGTTTTCATTTTCAATTTTACTTCAGAGCCACGTGTACGTACCCAAAGCGCCGCATGTGGCTCGCGAGCCGCAGTTTGCCGACCCCTGTTCTCCAGGAAAAGAGACCCAGAGACACAGGCACAGAAGGAAGATAGTGTGAAGACAGACACACACACAAACAGAAGGTGGTCACAGGAAGCTGGAGGCGGAGACTAGAGTGACAGCCTACAAACCAGGGAACACCAAGGACTGCCACGACCACCAGAAGCCAGGAAAGCAGAGGACGGACTCTCCACTGGGGCTTTCCAAGAGACCAGGGCCCAGCCTACACCTTGATTTTGGACTTCCGGCTGCCACAACTGGGACAGAATAAATTTCCATTGTTGGAAGCCACCAGTTTGTGGTATTTGGTCACGGCAGCCTCTGGAAAGTAATACACATTCCATCGTACGTACCTTGTGTGCATGACTCAAGCCTACACATGCTCAAACCCAAAGCATTTGGGTTTCAAGGTCATGGGCTGTATGGGGCGTCCTGGGACCCAAGTTGAGGAAATCCCCTCCAGGCATGGCTCATCACAGAAATAAAACCCTCTCAAGCCTCCCGAGGGCTGGAGACCCCTCAGCAACACAGGCCTTTACCTTGAGAATGTACTTGATGCCTCCGTAAATTAATTCCACGTCCACAGTGTTGCGCAGAGAATATGCGGGGAGGACCTGGCCCCTGAAAGAGAAGACAGGCCTGAGGTCAGCCTCGGGAGCGACTGGGAACTCTGTGGCCATCAGCTGGATTGGAAAAGATCACCCGGTTCTTTGCCTTTCCTAAACACCGACACAACTGGCTGTACTAAAAACGCTAAATCTGATTAAAAGGCAAGAAACACGGATCATCCCCAGGAAGCGAACATTCCTCAGGACTTAAGGGAGCTGCACTTGATGAAGGATGTCACATTTCAAAAGGGCTTTGCCAGGAAGCAAAATCCAAAATGGCCCCGTCTCGAACAATTCCACGTGTGGGAATCCTGCCGCCTGCTTATGAAAGAACCCAGTTCACCGACTGTGGTTCTATTACCATTCCAAAGCGTGATAGCCAAGCACTATAAACTTTTATCCTTTTCTTTTCTTCTTGGTAGTTTCATTTGCCTCTCATAGTGATTCTCAACCAGGGATGATGTTTGCCTCTACCCCTGGGACATTCGGCAACATCTAGACACATATTTGATTGTCATGAGGCCCCATGGTGTAATGGTTAGCAACCTGGACTCTTTTCGTCATGACTTCCGAGGGGAGAGGGGATGCTGTGAATGCGGCCAGGGATGCTGCTGACATCCTACACCGCACAGGACAGCCCCACGACAAACAATGACCCCGCCCAAAATGGCAGCGGTGCGGAGGCTGAGACATCTTGGCCCATCCTAACAGTGAGCCCCTGGCCATTTCACTAGGCACCTTCTCATTCAGGTCAGGGTCTGGGAAAGACTCATGTGTAAAGCTGACCTATAACCTGCTTTGCTTCTTGAATCCACATCCTCTGACTCTGAACTCCTAACGATGATGGCGTACCTGACACAAGGCAGCATGAATAAAACATGGCTGTATGTTTGATAGGATATGGAGAAAGGCAGAAATGAGCAGGAGGAGGGAACCAGCCTCGTCAGGGGGCCCCTTGCAGCTGCTCCTGCTCAGGTCACAGATACCCTGCTCTGCAGGATGTCATACACAAAGGTGGGCACAAAACAACTAGCTCAGTAGGAGAGCGGGCTCACACATGCCCCGAAAACAATAAGAAGGGAAAATGCCGGAGAGGGATGGAAATGC